ATGGAGGGTGCTCGATTTGTGTAGATCGGACTGCCCCAAGTTAGATACCAGGTTGGCCTTTTGCTGCGCTTGCGGTGCGCTTGGAGAGATTGTGTCGAGTGGGGGTGGTGCTTCTACTCTCTCTTGTTGTGTTTTGGCTGGTGTTCTGTCACAGACCAATTTTCAAAATTTTGACCTATGCCTTTTCTGAATTTCATTTGGCTCTTATTTGCTTTGGATTTCTTTCTCGGAACTAATTCAAGAAAATGGTCAACCCACTTTTTCAGGGGCAAATGAGCATGAGCTTAACTTGTCGAATCTTTATCTAACTATGCTCTTTCACATATACCAACCAAGACCAAGAGAATGGATAGTGCTCATCATATGAATCAATCGCAAAAAATCATCTCAAATGGACGTGTGGTTTATAAACTAGGTTTAAATAAAGTTTTAATCCAAATTTAAATAAAAATAAATTTTAAAAATCCAAACTTGTGCCAATTTGGTTCTACTGGATACTTGGGATCAGCATGAACTCAATGCAAAAAGACTTTCTAAATTTGGAGCTCTAGATTCAATTTTGATTTTGTCCAAAAACTTTGCCATGGCAGCGCTTTGAAATCAGTGGAAACTCTGCATGGCAGCATTTTTGGGCTTTGACAGAAATGGACACGTGGCTGAACATGATTGGTTGGTACCAGTTGCCCCATGAAATATAACATGGTGTTGGATTTTATGATCATAAGACGACTTAGATTAGGCCATACCGATTTGGTTAATTAAAACGCGATCGATGAATCTGAGGGGATGAACGGCTCACAGGAGCCCATGTCACCCTAGGGTTTTGGCGGGTCAATATCTGTCATTGGAGACGAGGACGACATCGGGGACGCTATGGTGGTGCTCGGGGTCAATGCTACAGGGAGTCCTTGGATGCACACGTTATACATTCCGACTCGACACAACAAGAGGGTGACCATGGTGGCACCAAGGATGGACAGAGTCATTGGGAATCACTCCCCGGAGATGCAGACACAACGACGAGCTTAAGGTTTCGACGACGATTAAGCTTTAGTGCTCCTCAGTGTTGCACAAGTGGTCAGTGAGGTGCATTGCAGCGCGACGAAGTGAATGGACAAGACAACGGGTCGGGCATGTTCTTCCCTCGCCAGAAATGTCGATTGTTGGTGGTGGTGCTCGTGCATGGTCAAAGTTGTGCTTAGGGGTCGCCTTGGGTGTGTGCAAGGTGTCAGGAAGATGCGCTGGAGCGCGAAATAGAAGTGGGAATTATCATACTTGAAGCAGTGGCATCAAAAGACCCGTGGATTTGTCACTCTTTGACATGTTAGGTTCTCACAACGACATCGATGTCCTTCAGCGACCTCTGTTATTCTCAAGAGACTTTGCGATGGGATACTACAACGTGCAACTACACTGTTAACAGGCACAACTACATCATGGGTACTACCTTGCCGATGATATCTATCATTAGTGGTTGGCTTTTGTGAAGACTATCCATGAGCCCCAAGGCAAGAAGAATTTCTGTTTGCACAAATGCAAGAAGCTATTATGAAGGATGTGAAGAGGGTATTTGACGAGCTTGGTGTACTCTTGCACAGGAGGGCAGTGTAGCTTCCCGTACTTCTGTTTTGAGAAGCTCGGAGTAAATGTCCGCCTCCCGGAAGAAGATGCAATGCATGTTGTTAAATTCTTAGAAATGCATCAACAACTTCGAGATCAACATGCACGTGTGCAACTACTCAATGATCCTATGAAGCATATGTTGATTCACATTGAAAACCATTAAATTGATGATTTCTTATTAGGTGTGTTTACACTATGCACTCCGGATAATATTAACTATTTTTTAAAACCTAAACCATTTATTTTTGAATTGCAATGTGTTATTTTGGTTGTTCTTTGTTATTTGTACGGTTCAATAATCCATCATGCATGTATTTGCATAAGAATGAGGGTTTGCATGGGGAGCACAGTTGCCTGGAAATGAGGGTCAGTACGTTCCTATATGCGGACACATTCACAAACATGATTCAAATTAGATAAATGTGATTGAAGATGCTCTTACAAAATACAATCAATGAAACACGAATGACTCACAATGAGAATATCATGTGCTCCCACACTCCCCGTGTTCCCTTGATACAGGAGCTCATGGGCCGTTGGATCCTTGCCCAAACTTGCAAAAAAACAAACAAACTGAAGAGTCCCATAATTCCGTGCGGATCTAGAGACTCCAACACCAACTGTTGGATCCAGAATCCAGCGGTTCAAGAGCACCTGTATCATCCAAGTATGAGATCCAATGGTCCAGGAGCTCTAGTATCATTGAGCATGAGACGGTACCTGATATTCTCGCACGACTCGTGTAGCGATCAACGTGTAAACTGCAGTGCCGTGTTGGAAGTCTAGCTGCAGTCAATACACTCGGCAAAGGAGGAAAGATCAAACCAGTTGTCCGTGCATGTTATTTCGCGGTTGTGCCGTAGTCGCCAATCGATTTGCAGACACGTCGTAATCACCTATGCAGTTCCACTTCAGTTTCGGTTCTTACCTTGCCCCTGGTGTGCTGTGTTAATTTTCCTTTTCTTTTGCCATGATGCTCTGTTACGTTTTGAATAGATATACACCAAACTGAAGGTCATTTTTCAGCGACGCGGATTTTTGGGACATGGTGGCGCGCGTGGATGAAATCTGGGCGGTCCATCTATGCTATAAGATTAGCAATTAATATAGTAATTGAATGAATACCCAAACAATACGCGAGGTTAATTCAGCAAATACGCGTACATGGGTTGGTGGCTAGCCATCTTAAATGAAACTAGACACAAGCGAATATGCATCCAAAATACAGTATTAACCGTTCTGCCATGTTAATGTGGTGCAGGCCATTTAAAACACTGGTCTGCAACGTTTAAATGTGGTTGTCTCAAACCTGTATGCCTTGAATGGCATTTAACAAATCTGGAGCTGCCGGTTTTGTTTTAGTTTGTGTTGCCCAACTTCATTTTTCGTGTGTATTATTGAGGGTACTGTTGTATCAGTTCATCACAGCACTGCCACTGTTCATCTTAAATCTTAATGCTGCAGTATTACCTAGTGGATGATGGGATATCCCCATAAGAATGAATGTAAAATAGCATGTTACGTTAATAACAAATTTCATGGGAAGGTAACAGTAATACTCCTACACTGTGCAACCTTCTTCAACCTGCCAGTTGGGAGAAGACAAAATGATAAGGTGACCATTGTATCAAGCTCAAGTGACAGCTGAAGGGTAGCCGTTCGTTAATGTTCCTACTATAGGACTACCGTTGCTATGCTCAAAATATGTGCTTAGGCGAGGTTTTGTTATTGATTTTCTAGGCTCGTTGGGAACCTAGTACAGGAGCTTGCATTGTCCCTTGCAAAAAAAAGAGCTTGAAATGTCCACCAGCTGATTCTGAACAAGTTGCATATCCAGAGTTGATGAGAGCACCGAATGACACATGGTGGATTAGATCATTAGAAGGTGTGTTGAAGGAGCTCACGAACTAATCCATTCATGCCATCGGATGAACAGAATGGGAGCTACCTGGTCCGAATGAATACGTGTTGAAGGAGCTAATGAACTAGACTAGAACCTGGAAGAGCACGTGATAGAGCACAAAGCAGGGAAGGCCAGAAGTTGAACACAAATAGAGTCGACGAGGAGGACGAATGCGAGGGGATGAGCACTTGCTGGTGAGAGGATGAGTAAAAAAAAGTTTGGTGCATGTTACCGTTGGTAGCAGCTGTCTACGGGTAGAGCTGATGAACCAATGTGGGATAAACAGGGGGGAGAAACTGCAAAAATTAGGGAGGATAATTAAGGGAGGAGCTGCGGGATGAAGAGGGGCAACAGATAATATGTGCAGGGTGCCGTCAGACATCTGCTAAAATAAATAAGAGATTAACTCCTCTTGTCATCCCGGTGGGCCAGGGTCAGTAATTGACACTGGGAATACATGAATCAGAATGTTTTTGTATATTTTGCGGTGGAGAGGCTGCTCATCACGTGTGCCTTCATCGTGTCCCTTCCAACATAATCAAAAGGCCCATGATTAGCATTGTATCACTTGAGTTGCGATATCATCAGATATGTTGCCCGCATGTGGGCTGCCAGATCGTTGAATTATTGCCGTTGGGCTGCTAGGTGTGGGATTAATGCACGCGCGCTGCCTCGCGGGCCATGCACTGCATGTGTCAGATGCAAATACACACACGCTAGACCGAATGCTATACTACGAGGCGAATTCCTTATACGGTCAGAGGGTTATAAAGCTGCACGCATCGCGCGCGGTGTGGATTTCGGACGCGCGCGTGGTGGCATGTCCACTCGCGATTTTTCCATTTTTCAGTCCCTGTATCCCGGCCGTGCGATGTTTGTAGCCCTCGTAGTTCTGCTGCTCTCCTCGCCGGTGCCATCGGCCGGGGACCAGCTGTTCTGCGCCGACGCCAACGACAAGTACAGCCCAAACAGCACCTACCAGGCCAGCCTTAGATCCCTTGCCGATGAACTTACCGCGAGAGCCATGAACTCGCACTCGGCCACGGGCACGGCCGGCGGGGGCTCCGACAAGGTCTACGGCGCCGTGCTCTGCCGAGGGGACTCCACCGGCGCTGACTGCAGCGGGCGCCTCCGGGAGGCCTTCGGCAAGACAATCAACGCTGACAGCACCGGGGCCGCCGCATGCGCGCTCCACAAGGACGTGGCGCTCTAATCCGAGCTCTACCAGCTTCGCTTCTCCGACGAGGACTTCCTCTCCGCCTTCAGCAACGCGCCGGAGTGGGTCGACGGCACCAACCTGAACCTCGTGCCGGCCGCCGACGCTAGGCAGTTCGACGAGCTGGTCGCCAAGCTAACGAGATCCCTGGCCGAGGCCGCAGCAGCGCAGCCGGACAGGTACGCAACGGCCGACGCGCCGTGGTCGTCGCGGGAGAGCGAGCGGACCGTGTACGGGCTGGCGCAGTGCACGCAGGACATGCCGCCGGAGCGCTGCCGCGCTTGCCTCGACGGAGTCGGCGCTGAGATACGGCGGCGGATCGGTAGCAGCAAGATGGGCGGGGCGATTCATGGTGCGCGGTGCACACTCCGGTACGAGACCGGCAACCAATTCTTTACGGAGACCGCCACAGGCAAGTCGTTGTACAATTTAGAGCACAAGAAAGAAACTGAGATTTTTTTAAAATAAATTCCATTTTTGTCTTGAGCATTAAATTTTCCCGCCCTTTTTTTTTTATCATCAGACTCAAGAGTTGGACTATCAACAATAATATAAGATCATAAGACTGAAAACTGTGCCTTTGGGTAGCTTATAAAAATGAAAAGTAAGACATCATACAGTTTTGCTATTTTGCTAGATATGTCTATAATGGGACCAACAGAACACGGGGAATAGTACAAAGGTTCAGTTTGCTTAATCAAATCGGGTACATATACTGGAAGGAGCAACCATGAAAAATACATGAATTTACCTATCTGAGTCACCTTCTGACATACTTCCCTTCTAAAAGTATGAAAGAGCTGGAGCCTTGAGAGGCTATTAGTAGTATCGTTCATTCGCTACATGTCACTTATTCTCTTGCAATATTCAGGGCAACGGAAGGGCCATGCACTCCTGATTATTGCCACAGTGTACTCGCTCTCGGTCGTCTGTACACGTTTGCTTTTCTGTGTCCTATACATCACAAGACGAAGAAAAAGAGGTAAGCAGTTCAATAAATTCCATGCGCTATCTGCAAAAAAAATAAAAAATCCATGCGCTAATGATGATAGTGGCAACTAACTCACTACCAAGTGATCTAATTTCATGTAATAACTGATAACTGATGGAGGGGTGTACATTTAGGGAAGATAAATTCCACGGAGCAGCCCAAGGACATAGATGAAATCCTGAGGCTTTGGAAGATGGAAGATACCGGCTCTGAGTTCTCCCTGTATGATTTCTCGCAAATTGCAGATGCTACAGACAACTTCTCACCCCGCAAAATATTAGGACAGGGTGCCTTTGGGCCCGTTTACAAAGTATTTTTCCGTTGTATTCATATTTCCTCAATAAAAACATAATTAACACGAACCATTCTAAGTTATGGAGGATCGTTCATGATTTTTGCAGGGAATTTTTCCTGACGGACAAGAAGTAGCAATTAAAAAACTTGCTGCACGGTCAAGACAAGGTCTAGTGGAATTCAAAAATGAGATCCAACTGGTAGCAAAACTTCAGCACAGACACCTTGTTAGGCTGCTGGGTTGTTGCATCCATGATGAAGAGAAGATACTGATCTATGAATACATGTCAAACAAAAGCTTGGACTACTTCATTTTCGGTAGGTTTTTGGAGTAATTTACTAATGTCCAATTGTATGCCCCTCTGTAGTACTAAACACTTGGCCGTGTGTCATACTTGCAGATCCAAACAGGAGGACATCATTAAACTGGATGATACGACTTAAAATAGTAGAAGGAATAGCCCAAGGGCTTCTATACCTTCACGAGCATTCACGGCTGCGTATCATCCATAGGGATCTGAAAGCAAGCAATATTTTGTTAGACTCCGAGTTAAATCCTAAGATTTCTGATTTTGGCATGGCAAGGATATTTCCCTCAGATGCCACTCAAACAAAAACAAGCAGGCTTGTTGGAACATAGTAAGTACATCACACGAGTAAATTACCAATTAATATTTCTACCCAAGCATTTTCCTTCTGACTATTGCATGTCATCTTTCCTAGTGGTTACATGGCTCCTGAGTACGCATTTGAGGGCCTCCTTTCGATCAAGTCAGATGTTTTCAGTTTTGGGGTATTGCTTCTTGAGATTATAAGTGGAAAGAGGAGTGCAGGATTTCAGCATTATGGAGAAAGAGAATTTCACAATCTTCTTCAATATGTAAGCAAGTTAATATCTGTAAAATTGGTGCATTCTCGATTTTTCATTTCCATGAATTGCAGGGGTCTTTTCATTCTTTCCCGTTTTATTGGCTATAATTTTGTGTGCAAATTTTAATACAGATATATAAGGTTACCCTTACCGTCAAATTTATGTAAGGACCGTATTTTCAGGCATGGCAGATGTCGGAAGAAGAAACATGGCATGAATTCATTGATCAATCAATTGGTGATGAATATGAACCAGGAGACATGATGAAATATCTCAGGTTGGCACTAATGTGTGTCCAAGTAAAAGCAGTAGACCGTCCCACTATGTCTGATATTGTTGCAATGCTTAGCAGTGACGACATCACCATAACAGAGCCAAGGCAACCAGCTTACTCCTATACCAGAGTAGATGTGTCAGTAAATATCAATTTATCATGCACCAGAAATGATATAACCCTCACCACTACTGATGGTAGATAAATGGTCATTTATTTCATTTGCAAAGTGTGTGACTACTGGTTTTGGATGTTCTTCTTGTGTTGACAAATTAATTAGACAGGGCACTGTTTGTATTCCATTAGTGACTCAGAATTTCACCCATTTATCCTATTCCTGCATATGTAACAAGATTTTCCATCATAAGCAATATTTACAAGGGACTATGAGAATATTTACATATCTGTTTCAAAACTACATAGCACTGGAACTAGCACAAGACCTGCGAGCTGCTGGGCAGATCAACAAAACCACCAACTATCTACCGTCAGGCCGTCCTTTGAGACATATCTACTGTAGCTTGTAAAATTGATTATAGAGAAGGTATTCTACACTCCCGGTACTCCCAACTCTAGAAATCTCATTCTAGAAGTCATGAAATATTTCAACAAAAATTGGCAATATAGACAAATTTATGTATAAATCATATAACAAAAAAAATCAGATCGATGGATTCGAAACACACGTCTAGAAACAAAAATGACAAATATTGCTGTGAATAGTACTAATCCAATTTGGGCTGTGAATTCGGCTCACTAACAATAAGAATGCCGGATTCTTCTTTTTTGTTTCTTGAGCTACAGAAACTTTGGAACTTTGTGACATAGTAGATACATACAGTATAAGTATTGAGATTTTGTTCATAAGTTTTGGAATTTTTTTTATAGGCCAAAATTTTCGGGAGCACTGGGAGTATTCCACACCGGGATTACTCCATACATTCTCGTCCGTTATATGCATGTTAGACATGAAAATGAATTAATGATAAAGTGAAAGTGCAATCTAGACCATATGCCGACCTTGTTTTAGACATGAAGGTACTGTAAAATTGACTTTACTAAGATGTGAAACTAGGACATGCTACAACAGTGACTCAAGGCTCGATCTTATTAGAGGTGGTATAGTCCACCGGGGATGGCAACATATGTCCCAACCCAAATAGATAGTGTCTGTGTTAAATATTCAAATAATTAACATGTATGATAGCAGGATTAGAAGGAAAAAAGACCGCAATTTCAGATAATGGGATTGAAAAGTATGACAGCACCTGTGTGTGTAAATAAAGTCCAATGCTTACACTTGGACCAAATTGGAAGTCAAACCCCGTCCAGTAGGCATGTTTCTCTGCCCTACTTTGCAGGATATGGTGACTGTCACCATCAATCATCCTGTCAATTTGAAGAGAAAAGGTCAAACTTAGACCAGTCTGGTCCCAAAGGTCATTTTTGCAAGAACCTTCAACATGTTTACCTCCTGTACACAAAGAGAAGATGTTATTTGCCACTCATTCATTACAGCTTCATGAGTACTTCTGCAAAGCAGATAGATCAAAGACCATTTTCTGAAATAAACAAGGAGGATGCCACTATTATCTCTCTTAGTTCTCTTCCTCTCCTTCTCGGCTTCGTCAGAAGGTCAGACACTCTGCAGCGACAATAATGGCGGCATGTACATGCCAAACAGCACCTACAAATCCAACCTTGTATCCCTCGCTGAACTACTGTTTGCCAAAGCCACAGAGGAGCACTCAGCTACTGGCACGGCTGGCATAGGACCAGACAAGGTCTATGGTGCAGTGCTTTGTCGGGGTGATTCTGACGGCTCCGACTGTCGGAAGCGCCTAACCAGGGCCCTTGATGAAGCAATCAACAGCAAAGCTGGCAACTCTTACTCCCTCCAGAGTAACAACGTGACCTACTACGACGACCAATACCAGGCACAGATAAGCTTCTCTGACCAGGACTTCCTTTCCAACTTCAGCAACATGCCCGGGTGCACCGTGAATACTAACCTGAACTCCGTGACGGCCACTGGAGTAGCCAAGCGTTATGAAGACCTTGTCAACAAGCTGATACATGCGCTTGCTGATGCTGTGGTGAGCCGAGCAGAAAAATATGCAGTCAGGAAAGTGAGGTCTGAGGAGACAGGACAGATGGTGTATGGGCTGGCGCAGTGCATACGGGATATGCCATATGAGAGTTGTGCGCCATGCCTGGATCGCATAATCTCTGACATGCAGAGTAAGATCATTGCTGGCCAGATAGGGGCAGCATTTCTTGGGGTGTGGTGCACATTGCGTTATGAGACGGACACACAGTTCTTTACTGATACCAAGATGCTGTCACTCGGGTCCTGTTTTTTTTTTTTTAGAGAAAAGGCGAGAGCCCGACTTTATAGATAAAGCCACCAGGCAGAGTATATGACCAACAACAGCACCCAACAAAGTAACACGCGCAGAAGATAAAGAATCATTACAAGGCCAGCGGCCTTACATGGCACGCAGGCCAGCCTAAACCAGACACCAAAAGAGCATTCAGGAAGCCGTCCTCAAAGAAAGCCGAAGAAGCCCAGACGTCGTAGATTTCATCTTGGATAGCATGGCGTCGAAGGCCTGGAGGTCCCCTTCTTTAGTCAATAATCTCCACTGCTGCAAGAAACCATTGGCTTTAAATAAGCAATTGATAGGATTAGCCGGAAAAATATGTTCAATCGAGAACTTATTCCTAGTAGTCCACAATGACCAGCCAATCGCAGCCCATCCAACTAAGAAGACTCTTTTAGAATGGCCAGAAAGAAGATTGACATAATGCCTCAGGTCTTCAAAGGAGGAAGGGGACCAATTTACATGTAACCAGAGTCTGATGCAACTCCACATAAGTTTAGCTAAGGAGCAGTGAAAGAAAATATGCTCGGTGTTCTCCAGTGCCCCACAAAGCACACACCTGTCGGACCCCGGCCCGTTTCTTTTCTTAATCTGATCGGCCGCCGGAAGCTTACTCCGGATAGCTTGCCAGAGAAATATCTTGATCTTAGGAGGAATTCGAGCCGACCAGACATGCTTAAACTTGACCGGGCGCCCCCTAGGGATAAGCTTGGAGTAAGCAGATTTAACCGAAAAACGCCCCGAAGAGGAGAAGAGCCACACCACGACATCCTCTTCCTCCGAGAGCAGGGGGAAGCAAGCAGTAAGGCGCTGCCAATCTTCCAACTCTTCAGGAGAAAGAGAACGACGAAAATCCAGAACCCAACCCCTAGCCGAGAGCTCAAAGATAGAAACCTCAGTATCATCGCAATAAAAAAATAGAACCGGAAAAGCAACAGCCAGCGTGGAGTCCCCGACCCACCAATCAAGCCAAAACCGCGTAGACTTACCGTTCCTAACTACAAATTTTACAAGGGACCGAAAGATCGGCCAGACTTTAACCAGTTGATGCCAAAATTGCGACCCACCCGCAACCGGCGCGAACATAGGACTCGAGGAGGGGAAATATTTAGCTTTTAGGATAGAGAGCCAGGGTGGCAGTTCCTCAAGAGTCATGATCTTCCACCACCATTTGATCATAAGACAAGTATTCATCACTCGCGTATTAATAATGCCCAGACCCCCTTTGGCCTTGGGGCGACATATAATGTCCCATCTGACCATCATGTACTTACGTTTATTGTCCGCTGCGTTCCAATAGAAAGCACCCCTATGCTTGTCAAAACCATTATGAACCCCACTAGAGAGAAGATAGAATCCCATTAAGAACATAGGTAGCGAAGAAAGACAGGAGTTAGTAAGGGCGACCTTGCCCGCTTGCATATTATATCGCCCTCGCCAAGGGAGAACTCTGTTGCCAACTTTGGTAACCACCGGAGCGAAGTCTTTAGCCAAAAGTTTAAGCGGGGAAATGGGGAGGCCTAGATATTTGAGAGGGTAGGATCCCAAAGAGCAGTTTAGAAGATGGGCCACCTGCTGCGCCTCTTCGTCCGAGACCCCAGTCACTACAACCTCACTCTTAGAGAAATTGATTTTAAGACCTGAGAGCGCTTCGAAACAAAGCAGAAGGAATTTCAGATTGGTGAGGCTATTATCATTAAGTTCCATCAGAATTATAGTATCATCCGCATATTGGAGATGAGAGATGCCATTAGGGATGAGATGAGAGCTCACCGGAGTGATATGACCAGCCAAGGCAGCTCGAGAGAGAATGCGAGATAGAGCATCAGCCACAAAGTTGAAGAGTATAGGGGACGCTGGATCCCCTTGCCTGAGGCCCCTGCCATTAGCAAAAAACTGGCTAATTTGGCCATTGACAGCCACAGCCGTGTGCCCCCCAGAAACCAATTGCATCAAGCGCTGCATAACAGGCCCCTCAAAGCCCTTAGCCAAAAGAACTTGCCGAAGGAAATTCCAGCTAACCGAGTCGTAGGCCTTTTCAAAGTCAAGTTTGAGAACCACAGCCTTGGTCCCTCGCACCCGTAAGTCATGAACAATCTCATGTAAACAAAGTACCCCGTCCAAAATGAACCTCCCTTTGATGAAAGCAGACTGGAAAGGGCTAATGGTCCGATGTGCAATGGGAGATAGCCTAGTGGCCATGCCCTTTGCAGGCATCTTTGCGAAGTTGTTGATTAAAGCAATCGGCCTAAATTGAGAAATCATATCCGCACCCTTGACCTTAGGGATGAGGGAGAGAACCGCATAGTTAAGTCTAGAAATGTCAACCGATCCCAGCCAATACCCTTGAATGACAGCAGAAATTAGACCTTTTAGTTGGGGCCAGAATTGTCGAAAGAATGGAATGGAGAAACCATCAGGGCCTGAAGCCGCATTAGAATTAGCCGTCCGAATAGTATCAAAAATTTCCTCCTCGGAAGGGGGAATCAACAGAAGCTCATTATCAGCGTGAGAAATCCTATCAAGGGGAGCCCAGAAGCCCGGGGCTAGCGTGAATCCGAGGTCTGGTTTAGCCGAAAGCAGGTTAGAGAAGAACCGAACTACATGACGAAGAATGACTGGCGGTTCAGAGACCCTAACACCATCAATAATGAGGCTGTTAATCAAACATCTACGCCGTCTGCCATTCGCAATGGCGAAAAAGTAAGCCGTGGGAGAATCACCCTTAAGAGTCCAATTAATCGTACCCCTTTGCTTCCAATACACTTCCTCTTGGCGATGAATAGCCAGAAGCTCCTTCTCAAGGCCATAGCGAACTTGCCACTCAGTAGCCGAGAGCCCACCGTTGTCCGCACGGGAGTCGAGGGCACTAATTTGAGCACTCAACCTAGATTTGTCGCGCCTCGACTCAGCAAAGTGGTTCTTGGCCCATCCTCTAAGGAACTTGCGTAGGGAGTAAGAAACATAATGCCAGTCATCCATAGGGCCAAATGAACGATGGAGGGAGGTAAGAAAGCCCAAGATCTTCTGAGCCAGCATATCAGGGAACCCTTCCACTAAAAGCCAGGACGCGTCAAATTGAAATCTTTGGTAGCCATTGGGGCAGAGACCATCGTCAAGGATGAGAGGAGCGTGATCGGACCCGACGATGGGGAGGGCCCGAAGTGAGTAGCGAGGAAAAAGGCCATCCCAAGCAGGGCGGATAAAAACTCTATCAAGAACCGAGCGAATAGGACAAGTCTGTCGGTTGGTCCAAGTGCAGCGGGCCCCAACCCTCGGGATCTCACGGATAGCCGTGTCCCTGATGAAAGCATTAAAAGCCTCGGCCCGCACCCAGGAGAAATTGACAGAACTCTTATCAGAAGGATACCGAAGCAGATTAAAATCACCCCCAATCAGGAGTGGCAGTTGGCAGGCATCAATTTTAGTAAAAATCTCATCCAAGAAAATTTGTGACAAGGAATGATCAGCCGGACCATATACTACCATAAGTTCAAGGAGGGTGTTATTGGAACGTAGGGAAACTACCATACTAGCCCAGTATATACCATGGTCGAAAGCCACAAAATCAAAGGTGACATTATTGGTGCCCAGAAGAAAGCCGCCGGACTGACCAACAGAGGCCACGAAATTCCACCTAAATCTATCAATCCCAGCAATCGCTGATAGTTCAGAAGGAGAAAAGGAGGGTTTAAGAGTCTCAACAAGCCCGATAAAATCAATTCTTTCAGCGCGCATTAAGTCCTTCAGTTGGTCTCTGCGCCCCCTAGCGCAGAACCCTCTAATGTTCCAAAACAGGGCCTTCATCTTAGGGAAAGGTTTTTAATTCTCAAGCTCGACCTGCACGGAGCCTTGCAGGTTTTAGCACGTTTCCCGGCCCCGCGCTTCTGCACCGGAGACAGCTGCCCCCTAGCAACCTCGCCCGGTTCCCCTCCGACCACAACCAGAGGGGCATCCATCCCAGTCCCAGCCTCCTTGGCCTTGGCGATATCATCCTGAGCACGTTCATTAGCATGAATCAACTGCAACAGAGAGGAGGGAGAACCCACGCTAGCGTCTAGACATATCCCAACATCAGCTAATATCGAAAGGAGATGTTCATCGGAATGGGAGGGTAAAACAAGCCTAACAGGAGACTGAGCCAAAAGGGGGGGGGGGAAGGAGATGAGGGTGAATCCAAACCTGAGGGGGGAAGATCACGCGCCGCCGCACGCCGAGCCGCCCGATCCACCACGCGCTCGCCACTGTTGGAGGCGCGGCCACTCTTGCGAGCAGTCGAGGCAGGAGAGCGCACAGGGACCGGAGGGGCCCGACCAGGGGAAGCCGCCACCGAAGAAGGGCCCGAAGCCGCCCCCAGGTCCGCCTCCAAACAGCGGCAGAGCCCAGCCGCCGACTGCCTGGAGTCCCCCGAGGCCCGGCTCTTCGCGGAAAACTTCTTCACCGAGGACTTCTTCCTTTTCTTGGCCACCGAAGGTCCCACTGGAGGTAGATCTTCAATGTCGGACAGCGAGGGGGAGGTGGGGCGCACGGGCATGTTGGAGCACGCCCCCGACAAGGGGGTGCCCTTTGAAGCAGCCGCGGCCGTAGGACCAGCCACCGTACCAGGCACCGAGCCCTGAACCCCACCACCCGCCGGAGCCGAGCACAGTCCTTCATCAGCTCCTGCTCAGCAGGAGAAAGCCCATCCCACGCAGACTAGGTGAATCGGGGATCCGTGCCATTCAGCGAGTCCTCATGACCCCCCCCACCCTCCCGACTCTTGTCATCGTCACCCGAGGCCGGGGGAGGAGGGGGGGGGGAGGAGGAGCGACCGCACCAGGAGCACCTTCCACCCGAACTCGAAGACGAAAGCCACCAGCCGCCGGGAAGACATCAACGGAACCACGGATGCAGATCGGATCAACACACCACACACGAAGGCGAGCAGGACCCAGAACCGACAGCGAAGCAAGATCGACCTCAATAGGTTTCCCGATAAGCACCCCAAAAGCCATCAAGAAGGACGTGGTGCGCAAGCTGGGAGGCACATCATCAACGAGCACCCAGACATCAGACAGAGGAGATATGGTCTTGGATCCGTTGGAAGCCGCTTTGACCGATACAACAAGTTGATTCACAGGGAGAGTGAAACTGGTACAGGAAGACATCATGCGAAGACTCTCTTTAGAGGGGAAAGTGGCCGCAAACTCGAAATCAGAAAGCTGCCGGATCTGCCAGTCCCAACCCCCTTCATCCCACATATGAAGTTCATCCAAGAGGGCTTGTGAAGAGATACGCTTGTCTTGGACAGTAATGACACCCACGTTGGACAGGGAGGGAATGGGAGCAGCTGCGGGGACTTCCCTGTCCATGGCAAAAAAAGAGCAACCCGGGAGGCCAATCCCAAAATGGACGAAGGAGGGGGGCTTGATCCTACTCTGACAGTCCACCGTTAGGTGTCCATCCTCCCTACAGATGAGACAGAAAGGAGGGTTCTCGCACCGAGACTGGAAATGGCCAGGGCGATGACACGCGAAGCAGGTGAGGATGGGATTAGAAACCTGGGAGTGAGAGGAGTTACGGTTCGCACCACGAGAAGGCGCCGAAGGGAGGATGCCATCTCCAGAAGAACCACCGACGGCACCCGCGCCAGCACCACGTCCCGCCGCAGGGCCAACCGGACGCCGGGCTGGGGCCCCAGAGCCACCACGAGGAACGAAGCGGGACGGCCCGCCGCCGCCCGCCGCCGGCGCCCGCGGCGGCCCACCCATGGGAGCAAGCGAGGAAGGAGATGAGGAGGGGCCCGAAGATCCCGCCCGGCTCCCCCGCGCCGCCTGTTCCCAAGGGTCGACCACATGCACCGGAGCTGCGGACGCCAAGGACGGAGAAGCCACCAGCCCAGAACCAGACGCACGCGGCGAAGCGGCACCCGCCTCCGACCGCGAAGCCTGGAGCTTGGCGCGGAGCGACGCCTCAAACTCCAGATCCGCAGCAGCGTCGCCAGAGCCGTCCCGCCCCCGCTTGAGGCTGGAGACAGCGTCGCTGGAGGACCCACGGGAGCGGTCCATCGGCACCGACGAGAAGGGGAGGAGGAGGGGAGGGGGAGGCTTGGATCTGACAAAGCGGCGGATAGGGAAACGGCGCCGTCGCAGATCAGCATCGGAGGTAGGAAACCCTAGAAAAGGGGGAACCGACCCCTTCCGGACCCATAAATAGCCGGAGCCAGCCAGGCCGGGCTCTGTCGAAAGGGCCGAAGGGGGAGGCGGACTCAACTGGGCTGGCCTAGGCCCATCAGACTCAGACACGAGGGGGGGATCAGCCGTGGAATCCAGCGAAGGGGCCGACACAGGCCCACACGGCCCGTCACCGACCAGAGGGACCCGGCCCACGGACTGGGGCACCAACGCAAGACCCGATCCCAGATCTAGGGTTTGCGCGGCCGCCGACGACGTGGAAGGGAGGCACCTGGACGGCGACGAACCGGAGGGCACCGCCACCGAGGAGGATGAGACGGGTGAGGCCATGGCGTCCACCCCCGGGCTCACCAAAGAAGGATCCGCCGCCCAGGGAGCGGCGCGCCGGCGCCCACGGCCAACACGACGCCATCCATCCGGGCCCGCATCAAGCGCACACAGCCGGCCCCGACCCCCCGGAGCAAACTTGCGCCGACGGCCCGCCACCAATAACAGAGGCAACCCAACCACCGATGCCGAGCGAGGAGGAGGGGGAGTCTCAGGATCAGAATCGGAGCCAGAGTCGTCGGAATCAAGGGCCCAGAACTTGTTGGCCCGTGGCGCTGCCAGGGCCACCGGGCAGGGAGGGGGGAACGCAGGTGGGAGGGGTTCGGGCCCCACCGTAGGCGGATAGCCCGGAGAGGAGCACGAGGGGAGAAGGGAGCAGGGGAGCGAATCTGACTTGGACGCCGGGGACGAGGGGGAACCGCAAGCCGACGGCGTCCCGCGGGGAAGGAGCGAGGGAGGGGAGGAGAGAGCCATCTCGTCCGGGGAGGGAGCGAGGGAGGGGGCTCTCGGGTCCTGTTTGGTTCATAAGTCCTAGGACTTTTTCTAGTCCCAACTAAAAATTCTCTAGTCCTTAAAAAGTCCCTTCCTGTTTGTTTTCAGAGACTAAAAAGTCCCTAGTCCCTTCCTAGAGGTTATTAAATGACCATGTTGCCCCTATTATATAGCAAAATAACAATCAAACAACACCATGGGATGGCGGGCAATTGAATGCATGAAGGGGCATTGTTGGAAAAGTCTCAAAAAGTCCCAGAAAAGACTCTCCTTGAGAGTCTTCTTCATTTAGTCCCAAATGCCTAGTTTAGTCCCTAAAAAGTCCCTCCCGTTTGGTAAAAAAGTCTCTAAGAGGGACTTTTTCTAGTCCCCCCCCCATTTGGTAAAAAAGTCTCTAAGAGGGACTTTTTCTAGTCCCTACACAAAAAAGTCTCCGGAAACAAACACCCCCTCAATGCGCTCCCAAGAAGTCCCCAGTGACCACGCCATCCCTCCTTCCACCCCTACAACCTGAGACCCTGACCCCGACCCTCCCGTTGCCGACCGCGACGACCGCCCCGATGGCCACCACGGCCAGCGCCCCGCTCTTGCCGATGCCGGTCACCTCCGCCGCGCCCGTCCTCGTCGTCTTCACCCCGGAGGAGATGACAGCTGCCATCCAGTATCTCACCCAGGCGGTCACAGGCATCTACATGTTCCTCGTGAGATCCTATGGGCCGCAGCCGCCTGTGCCCTTCGCCACCGCCCCACCGCCACAGTAGCCGAGGATGGCAGCTGCCATCCTCGGTGACCCCCGTCGCCGCCGCCATGCAGCAGCTGCCGTGGCAGTCGCCACCAGCGACGAACCCTGGCGCCCCACCATGCAACAGGGGCAACAGCTGCAGCCGCCGCCACCGGCGACCGCGGCCCTGGGCATCCCAACGACGGGCCCGGGGGTGCCCATCCACCAGGTCCGGTTTCCCCCGTCGTCGTCTCCGTTATCGGCTTGGCTCACTGGGTCCCTTGAGCCGGTCTACACAACGGCCTCGGTCGGGCCGCACGTGCTGCCCCCGCCGGCGACGCATCCAGCCATGCAGTTTGGCGGGTCCTCGGGCTCCGCCGAGCCCTTCACCAGCGTCGACGGGCCCCTGTTCCAGGGCGGCACCCTGATGCCCGCCTACTCGGCCCCGTCATCCTCGCTGCTCCGTGCTGACGAGGCGCACCCGCCCGTCGTCCACGTCCAGACGCCGCCAAGATTCTGCAAGCTGGAGTTCACGACCTACGACGGCACCGTCGACCCCCTAAATTGGCTCAACCAATGCGACCAATTTTTCAGGGAACAACGCACGCTCGCGTACGACCGCACCTGGATCGCCTCGTATCATCTCCGAGGAGCCACGCAGACGTGGTACTATGCCCTCGAACAAGACGAGGGCGGCATGCCACCATGGGAGAGCTTCCGCGATTTGTGCCTCTTGCGCTTCGGTCCTCGTATTATCTCCGAGGAGCCGCGCAGACGTGGTACTATGCCCTCGAACAAGACGAGGGAGGCATGCCACCATGGGAGAGCTTCCGCGATTTGTGCCTCTTGCGCTTCGGTCCGCCTATACGCGGGAGCCATCTGGCAGAGCTTGGGCATCTTTCGTTCCTCACCTCGGTGCAAGACTTCGCACCTCCAAACCGCTGAGCTCTTCGTCGGCGGCCTACCGGACCACATCCGTGTGGATGTGGAGATGCGCGGGCCACAGGACCTCCAGACGGCCATGTACTACGCCCTTGCGTTCGAGCATCGCGCGGTGGCCATCCAGCAGGCGCCACCGCCCCGGGCCGCCACCCTGGCCGGAAGTTCCCGCGCAGGGTCGGCCTGCCCAGGCTTCCGCGGCGCCCCTCGCCGCAGCTGCAGGATGCCCGTTCCGCCGGCTCACCCTACCTACCGGGCCACGTCTGCCCACGACTCTTCTACCTGGAGGCTGAGGAACCTGCCGCTGCCGGGCTCAGTGACCAGCCCCTCTCTCCCCCTCCCCCTCCC